TGCGTCCATGAAACTAAGCAAGGCGTGGCCACTTGTCGAGTCAACTAGCTGATCGATCCTCGGCAAGGGATAAAAATCTTTCGGACACGCCTTATTTAGGTCCGTGAAGTCAACGCACATTCTCCAGGTGCCATTTGCCTTCTGAACCATCACAACATTAGCCAGCCATTCTGGATACTGACAGGGTTCGATGAAGCCTGCATCTAGTAACTTTTTTACCTCGGCTGCGATGTCTCGGTTCTTATTTGCGGAGTAGTTCCGCTTCTTTTGCTTAACTGGTCGACACGTGGAGTCGACATTAAGCTTATGGGAGATGAGGTCTGGACTTATCCCAGGCATGTCAGCTGCCGAGAAAGCAAACACATCTCGGTTGTCCCAAAGGAGTTAGATGAGTTCAACGCGGACTTTCGGATCAAGGTCCAATCCGATTGTAACGCATTTTTCAGCGTCTCCTTCGGTCTATTCGACCGTTTCGGTCTGATGGTCCAGCTCCATCGTCGTGAGGCTGGACTCCTCATTTTCTGGTCTGCTGTCTATGTCAGCAAGAGTTCCAGATTTTTTCTTTTCGGCTGGCTCTCTGAGTCTTTCGGCTCAGATGATGAGCTAGCCTTTTCTTTTCCTAGCCCTTTTTCTTTGGCCAGGTCTCCTTGAGCCGAAGCACTTAGGCCCTTTGTCTTTTTCGCGCTCGGCTGATTATCTTTCTCCTCCTCGTCGTCCTCTTTTGTACGACTGGTGGACGGCTTGAGGTAGTTGCACCTTCGGGCCTCCTTCTGGCTGCCCTCGACCCTTTCGGGGTAGCCGGCATCCGAGACATAGATCATCAGTTGATGATATGTCGAGACTACCCCTTGGATCTCATGAATAATGGGTCTCCCCATGATCACGTTGTACACAGAAGGAGCATCGATGACCAAGAATTCAGTCATGACGTTCCTGGCTGCCTCATCGCAGCCGATGGTGACAGGAAGTGTCACCTTCCCATCTGGATAAGTTGAGGCCCCGTTGAATCCGGATACCGGGTAGGGTACTGGCGTGAAGTGCTTGGGCTTCAGCTTAATTTGATTGTAGGCCTTTCGGATCAGGATGTTTGCCCCGCTGCCACCATCAACAAGAACCTTGCTGACGTCGTGGTTGGCCACCGTGGCGATGATCACCAACGGATCCTCGTGAGGGAACGTTACCCCCCGGCAGTCGGCGGCTGTGAACGTCATGTTCGACACCGGCGACCGAGGAGGCTGAATGCTAGCATTGTTCACCTGGTGGGTCAGAGCCCTAAGGTGTCGTTTATGTTCCCTCCGAGAACATATTCCTCCCGAGATAACATTAATTGGAGGGAATTTTCCCTCCGCGTTTTTGCTGTTTTTCCGGGGGAAGTCAAGCTCTTGCCAAGAGTCCTTTTCGGATTTCTCAGCCTCTTTTTTCTCGCGGTGATCCACGATGTATTTTTTCAAGTACCCCTTCCGGACCATATCTTCGATCTGGTCCTTCAGCTGGATACACTCTTCAGTATTGTGTCCCGGTGATTCGTGGAACTCACACCACTGATTTTTATTTTTGCGCTGATACCACTCGGGGAGTGGTCTCGGCTTCCTATAACTCTGCTCTTCCTTCGTTACGCTGTAGATCTTAGCGCGCGGAAGGGCTAGCGGAGTATAAGACTCATATCTGCCTGTGAACGGGGCAGATTTTTCCTTCTTCGGCTCGTTGGCCGAAGATTGTTCCAAGGCTTTCTCCTTTCCTTTCGTCTTCTGGCCTTGGCCTTCAGACGATTGTTTTTTCTTCCCGTTCCCGGATTGAGGTTGGGACTTTGTTTTGTTCCACTCCTCGGCTCGGATGAATTTATCCGAGGCATTCAGAGTTCCCTCCAAGGTCTGCGGGGTGTGCATGACCATGAAGTCTAGGAACTTTCCAGGCTAAAGGCCGTTCTACATTGCAAAAACTGCCAGCCCTTGGTCCAGCTGAGAAACGCTGGATGACTCGTTGCTGAAACGGGTCAAGTAGTCTCGGAGACTCACGGTCTCCCCTTGCTGCAGGCCCATGAGCTCAGCAGCGGTCTTCTCTTGGCGGTTTGCCGTGGAGAATTTGCTCTTAAACTTGGTGGACAGGTCGTCCCACCCCGTTATAGAGCCTTCCTTTACTCCCTTGGAGATCCACGCTTGCGCGACCCCCTTGAGAGTGGTGGGAAAATATTTGCACCAGGTCGCTTCGGACCTTGGGCAGAGATGCATGTGCCCCTCGTAGGAGGCGATATGGTCCTTCGGATCTGAAGTCCCATCATATGTAATGTGCGACGGTATTTTAACCGTAGGCACATGCTCTTCCAGAATCCATTGCTCGAATGGAGAACTGGTGGGTAGCATAACGACCTTGCCTTTGTTCCTGGCCGAAGGGACCGCGCTCCGCCCTCTTAGAGAGGTGGGAGTGGTTTTCGTCCCTGGCTGGGAAGTTCGGGCCTCGGCTACAGGGAACGAGAGGCGGCTGTGCATGCTCGGCTCCCTGCCACCGAGTCGGTCGAGCACGCTTCGGCGAACAGTCTCAGGTCGCTCTCGGCGGGCAGATTCCGGCCGAGAGGCTGAGCTGCTGCTCTTATGCGTTTCTGGCCGAGAGGTAGAGGATCCTTTGAAAAATTGAGGGTTCTTTTTCCTCTCTCTTTCAGTCCTCCAGGTATCCTCTTCCCACTCTTCCAGATCGGAAGGAGGGAGGCTTCCCCCCATCTTGGTCGAGCTTCCTCCGCTGATGCCTGGTATGCGGAGGAGTTCGATCACGAGGTGGAGGCATATTTTGTGCCCTCATTGCCTCCATGAGCACCCCCAGCGCTCTTGCCACTTCTTTCGAGCTGGGCCCCGTCAAAGGGGTCCTCGCCTGAGTGTGAGAGTGAGAGCGGATGATCAAAGGTTGGCTTTGGGGCACTAATTGAGTCCTATGATCGGACTGACTTCTGTTAGACCGAGGGGGACTCGGTCTATGATGAGAGTTGTGAATTACGGGAGAAAGGGAATCCTCCCGGTATGATCCTCCCCCCGAACTAGCACCCTTCGAAGAGTTCCGATCCGGCGAAGGTGATGGTGTAGGAGTTTTAGGCCTTTCGCCCGCTCCTTGACTTAGTCTTCTGTTCTTGCGGTTCTTAGCCATTGCTACCAAGATGATTGCAAGATGATTTTGATTGGCTTAAAGATTTTTTTTTTAAAAGTCTTCCCCACAGACGGCGCCAAATTGTTTCGGATGAAAACAATAGGACCTTGCCGAAGGTCCAATGAAGTGGATGAAGACTTGTCCGGTCCAAAGGATGCTAGGCCGAAGGTTTCCTGCACAGCAAACACACGTAAACTGGCCCCGGGGGTGGATCCGAGGAAGACCCCTCCGATGCCCAAGTCAAACAGTGTTTTTAGAGAGGAAGCTATGCAAGAGATTTAATGCTTGAGGCTTTTGTGTATATGTCATAAATGAATTAATTGAAGGCTTTTATACCTTTGCATATGAAGAGAGGAGAGCAATTGGGCCCCAAATAATCATGGACTGACCATAGCAACTTGGACCAATCGATTTGTGGCTGACTTGGCTTGATTGGAGGCTTGGGCCTTGACCTTGGAATATTGGATAATTTAATGACTAGGCCCAATTAGCTCAATTGGACCCAAACAGATACTATGCTCATAAATTCACGTTTTTTTTTTGTTTTTGTTTTTTTTTTTTTGTGAAGTCGTAAATACAAGTATAAGCTACAGAAAATGTGGATATCATGAAGTTAGACTTGATCATGGGAAGCCCGGCCCACTAGGCCGGCTCAATTGAGAAACTAAATTATAATAGTTGTAATGTAGTATAAAACATTTTAGCTAGATATATCATGAAGTTAGACTTCAATTAGTATTATGTGCACCATGGTGCACCTAGAAATAGGTGCACCACTCCTATACTTTTGAACATTTAGTAAAAAAAATTTGAACATCTTACAAAAATATGAACATCTAGTAAAAAAATATGAACACGTCACAAAAACTGAACATAAGCATGCAATTTTTATGTTCATATTTTATAAATAAATGTTCATTTTGTATACATTAAATGTTCAGTTTATATTACAAAACTATTGAATTATTTCGAGTTAGACAAACTTCTTTCAAAATTTGTTTGACTTGTAATAATTCAAAATTTGTGATTGTTCATATTTTTTTACTAAATGTTCAAATTTTGTTATTGTTCATATTTTTTTTTACTAAATGTTCAAAAGTATATGTGTGGTACATTATATTTGTTCAGATTTTTTTACTAAATGTTCAAAATTTGCGATGTTCAGATTTTTTTTTACTAAAGTTCAAAACTCGCAATTGTTCAGATTTTTTTACTAAATGTTCAAAAGTATAGATGTGATGCATTGCGATTGTTCGGATTTTTTAATTAAATGTTCAAAATTTACGATGTTCAGATATTTTTACTACATACTCAAAATTTGCAATTATTCAGTTTTTTTACTAAATGTTCAAAAGTATAGGCGTGGTGTACCTATTTCTAGGTACACCATGGTGCATCTTAAAATTTGCGGTTAGACTTGATCATGGGTTGTAGCTTGTAGGCCTTGTAGAGTTGTAGCTAGTTGTTGTGGCCTGCAGATGCTCTAATAACCAAATAAATAATACGAAGTACTCCGTAGTAGCTATACCAAATTATCATAACTAACAAAATGAAATTCGCAACTAATAATTTTAAAACTAAAAAATAAAATAAAATAAAACATGCTGTACTCCATGTGTCCATGTCTACAAGGACATCATATGCTGTAAAACAACAATTACAGTATCTTTGGAGCTGAAGGAGAGGAAAAATTAGGCCAAGCACAATTACTTCGGCCTATTTTACAGGAATTGGCAGATGCTTTGGCTCTAGAACCTGTCACTGTCATACAAAATGTCAAGATAACAAATGGTTCTAAGCTAAGAAAGGTAGTTTTCTGTTTCCTTGTCTATTTTTAATAAGGTTTTTTTATTAGATGATACCATCACTTCAATGTACTGTCCAAAAAATTGTCACTAATTACCTAGTCCAAAACTACAAAGAGATTACAAAGAGTCTTCTTGCAAAAAGCTACTGGTAACTGATACCGTATTTTACCAGCATTTCAGATGCCGCAATATGTCATCTACATTTGATGAAAAACAGATATACATAAGATACCGCTACAACTTAGTGCAATAATCACCAAAAAAAATTCACAATAGCCAATGCATGTTACTATGTTAGTATAAGCTTCTAAAACATTTAGGCAAGGAGACTACTCATCATCACTCTCATCACTGTACGAAACAAGACCAGTCTTCAACATATCAGGGATGTTTACCCCATTGGATTCAGAGTTCTTTAACTGCTCTTGAGGCTTCTCTACATTGATACTAGGTGTTCTTTGCTGCTCTGAATGCCTTTGAAACTCGGCAGAAGGCTTTTCAGCAGCTCTGGATTTTGGTTCCGGTGAGGGCTCCACTTTAGCTTTCTTTTGTGGCTTAGCTTTTATGATCATTCCCAAGGGCTGAACAGGACGACTTTTCTTTTTCGTAACATCTTTTTTCTCCTGCAGGTAACATTCAATATTGAGTGAACAAAGCATAATGGTCGCAAGACACAAATTTCAAATCTCGTTCCAGGCTTAGAGAAATAACCTCTACCCTTTAACCTGCAAACTTTGTTCGCGTAAAAATGCTGCGAGACAAATTTCAGATTGAACTATCCTATTTACAGGTAAATTCCAATCTATTTACCCTGCACAAACCAACCACCCCTCTGTGCTTTGGCTGTTATGGAATTTCCTATCCATGCCCATGGAAAATCATGTTGCAAGTAACCACTTTTTTCCTTTCCAATGTCAGGTTGTGGGTGGGTAATGGGGCAGATGTGGGGTTTCAAATGGACTTTAAGGCCAAGAGAGCAACTTTTCTCAATTCTTTTTTCACAACTTCATCACTTATCTAACCCCTTACACAATGCTCATTTCCCAAAGGTTGAATTTGTTTTAGAGCCTTCAGTTTGGGAAAATCCAACGACAATCCAGCTTCATTAGGAAACTAAATTAAAGTTTTGTAAACACCACTTCAAATAGCTCGCACTGTATGCTTGCAAGTAATACAAATAAGTTAAGACACATGAAAATAAAAGAAAAATTCCTGCAAGAATAGCACATCAAAAATGGCTTTTCCTAATTCACCACTGACCTGGACATCAGACACAGAAGATATTTCTTTAACCTCATGTACAACCATAGATTGTTCTGCCACTGCTGCCTACATTCAATAAGAAGGTTCAGAAACAAAAAGGAACAGTGGAAATCCTAATAACAAAAGCAGCCTGCATAATCATAAGGACAGACTATAAAAAAAAATGCTAAGCACAAAGATTCATAAAAACAGTTACGAATTGTTCAGACCATATAGGTAGCAGACAGCAATAAAATTAATGCATACAAAAATTGCTTCCAGTGGGAATGTGGGATATAGCAGATTTATGGGATTGAGGAGAATAAAGGGATTTAGTGTTGTATTGCTAGCTAGTAGCTAAGCACAAGAGAAAAACTCGATGCCAAAGCCAATCTACAGATTTGGCATCCCTTTATCCATACCCAAAATTGCCAACCACTAGCCTCCTCCACTGCCAATCAACATCACCAACCCAAATTCAAAACCAGTCTATATATAAATAAGAATTTGTTGGGTTTTGGGGAAATCTCCCAATCACTAAGTATGTGTCTCCTATTTTAAACTCAAATTCCTAACCAAAAAACCCAGAAATAGCTTGTTATATGTTAAGGTTGCCTGGTGAATCTGCTACAAAGTAGTGAGACCCTTAAAAAACATTTGTACCGATGCATATAAATTTGTACCGATGCATATAAATTTCATTCAATTGAAGCAACTTCACAGAAATTATATATTTTTTTTCTTTTTTTTTTTTTTAAAAAAAAGGAGCAATAATAGAAGCAAGGCCAGTAACACATTGTCTCCACTCTCCAGCCAATTACAGCTTTTACCAAAACAAAAAGCACTGTCTTAGACAGGGCATCCAACAAGAACACAAATGTTACCGAATTACAAGGGAAACAAGGAGACAAAAGTTAAGGAAGATATAAATAACCGAGTCAAAGAAATTGTATATATTCCACAAAAATGGGATAAAATATCTTACTTGAAAGCGCTTGAGTTGTTGGGCTTCTTCATCAGCTAGCAGTCGTTCGTATTCTTTTCGAGACTACAAGAACATCAAAATAGCTTAATATCAATTAAACTGACAGCTTAACAATAAAAGGGAAGAATTTCAGAACAATTTGTTTATTGGCAATTTTTATCAAATAAAAGGCATTGAACAATATGGGCAGAGAGAGCTATGTCTATATTGTTCATGCCATTTAGGTAGACTTTCCAGCTTCACCACCACCCCAGCAATTGACGACGTCCATAGCTTCCTAAGGATTAGACTAGAATCCAATTGCTAAGGCAACCGTCTTGTGAATCTACCCAAAAGTCCAAGGAGAGCAAATCCATCCTAAAATACATGAACTTTTTTCTAGGTTCAAGCAAAACAGAGTGACTGTCCTAATAGCATGTCAGAGTTTCAGATCCAACATTAGGATAAGCCCAGATCCAACAGCATTCCGCAGAAAGATTTTTCGTGCACACATGGAATGAAGTCTGCTCCATCGGAATTCTTAGTTATTTCTTTTCATGATATTTTCAACCTACAATTTTATTGATAGCTAAGTGAGGAAGACAGTTTAGAATCACAAGGGGTCAGGTAAAATTTTTTAGGGTATTCACAAATAATATGGTGTAATTTTTTAGTACTACTAAAATATAAATAAAATAAAAGCAGCAGCAACAGAATGTTGTAATTGACAAGTTTATAAAACCATATATATCGCCTTATAAAAAAAATCATAACTGGATTGACCAAACAAAAAGTACTTTCAGTGCTCTTGCTCAATGGTGTTATTCTTTTCACCTCACAAACTTTCTAGTTTCTACTGTAGCTACCATGCCTACCAATGTCTTTAACAGTACTATTTTTATGGGGACGACAAAATATGTATGGAAGAGGTCTTTCCAGGATCCCGGCATAGACATGAAAAGCTAAGAAATTAAGATGATACACGAATAAAAAATCTCACCGTCTCCAATTTATCAAGGAACTCAGTCTCATCTTCGTCCAAAGCCTTTGGTGGTCCTGCAACAAAACAAATGTCAAAGTGCTTGGCTTGTTCATGCAAACAAAGAGAAAGAGAAAGTAAATCAAGGCACATACGATGCTTAAACCGCTCATTGAATTCTGCATCTTGCTTATCTTTATTCTCCTTCAAAATCTACAAAGAAAATACTATTGATAAGAAAATTTATAGGAAAGACTCCAGAGGATAGCATAAAAAAGGAGGGCTAGGTACCTAAAATGGAAAAACCTTGAAGGATAGTGGGCATACTCCGCAAACAGAAGCAATAGGATTATGATTACCTAAAGTTAAATCAATCCTATTCGTATAATACTGGACAGAGTACTCCTAAGCAGCAGCTAAGGGCAAAAAAACACTTCTAGACCAAGTTCAGTGCAGCCAAACAACCAATGTGTAGCTGAGGAATCCACCATATGTAATTAATTGCTAGAGTATTATGAAGCTTTCTAACAGCAACATAAAACAGTCACGACATTATATTACAATAATTAGATATATTTTGTAATAGCTAACTCTTGTAATGATTTCCTATTGGTTAGTTAGATTGTAGCTTCCTGCTTTCCGAAAAAAAAAAAAAAAAGTTTAGAGTTTCCTATAGGTTAGGGACATCTCAATGTTGTGATAGTCTAAAAAGGATTAATTCAATTAGTTTGTATCAAACAATTCTCTAAAAAAGATGTTTAAGTTCTAAAGCTCTAGAGTTGGCAAAGGCTTGTCAATATAAGATAGAAAGATAAAACACTGGTGTTCTATTGATCCTTTCGATATTGTAGCAAATAAGTGTACATCTTAAAGGAATAACAAGAGATTTTCCAAAAAAACAATCATATTAGATACTATAAAGTGAGAAACAAAAAGAAAGCAGAAAATGCAAAACCTCAAAGAGCGGACGATCTCTTTGTGCAGTCCCGTCATCCACTCTTTCACCCCGACTACTCTTTGCTATATCTAACTGCCAATCACAACACAACAAGGAATTAAAGATACAGCAACCAAACACAGCCACTGCAATCATCAGTCAATCAATATACTTCCACGTTAATGGTCTTCATATCTACTTTGAAATGTGAAAATGAAATCCATAAAAAAAATTATAATATACTACTATGTAATAGAAAATTTCATAATTACAATATGAAGTACAGTAATAAAATAAATAAAATAAAAATTAGGGTTTGAAATTCAACCTCTTCTTGGGACACAAAATTCATCAACCTTATGGGAGGAGGTGCATCCTCAGCCATTTCTGATATCTTATTCTGTCAAATTACTTCAAATTGACTTGTGCTTCGAAATTCAGTCAAACTATAACAATCTTCCTTACAGCCGATAGAAATTGTGGCGGCAACTATGCAACCAAGTAATCAACCAAACCAAACTTGACGCCAGTAATCAACCAAACCAAACTTGACGCCCTGGTTTAGGAACTAGCAATAACAATTATAATAACAATAAAATAAAAAGAAAATTAGGTGGAACCCCCCTCAAAAATAGGACAACCCAATTAGGGACTAATTAAAGCTTTATATAACCTTTTCCAAATTACCATCCATGATCATAACAATGATCCCAAACATTAATCTAGGCCATCACCGCCAAACCTACTTGAAGAGTTAGTGCTAAGGCCAAAACTAAGATTAACCTGCCACAACATGACAACAATAAACCTCACCGAGTCATATTTTCCCAATATTTACTAAGGAGTTTGCTATGTCATAATCTACATCTACAATGATCTACTTAATACACAAGTCTTTCTTCATAAAACCCATATAGAATCGTAATACAAGTATAAATCATTATTCCGTAGTTTTCTTCTTTAAACTTAGCTACATTGCCGAAAGACTTACATAGTACGACTACAAAACCGTGCATAATGTCAAGTAAACAAGGTTCTTAAATTCTTCATACAATGAAATCATCACCTAGAATACGTTTCTAAAGGTTCCAAGTTGTGAAATCCACCATAAAAATTCACACTACTACGACATGAAACTAAGTTAATCTTATGCCAACACTAAAGATTTTTAAGTAGTCAATATATACTTCATAAAAGCATATTGAAAATTCATTCAAACTACTTATATTTAAACTAAAATTAACGTTCATTTACAAATTTCACTATACTACATGTTTTAATAATCAAACCGAATTTTCCAATATTATCATCAACTACTCGTTCAAAGCATTGGAAGGTAATACAACTAATATACCTCAAAAGAGTGCAATCCAGAATTAAAATTAACTCATGAATCTAAATTCTAAAAACAAACATCATGATTAATAATCCGTTTAATTGCTTGGCACACTAACGTAAGTAAAAATTAAATATAAACATAAGCGAAATCTTATAATTAGGGTTTTATAGGAAGGCTAATCTATGAATGGGAAGATGGAGTCGGCACCTACATCGCCGGCGAGCTGCCGGCGGCGGAAACAGTATTTTATATGAAGCCTAATTGAAATGAGTCGTCGGAGGGAGGAGGAAGAACAGCATTTACCTGGTGGCTGAGTGGTGGTCGGCGGTTGTTTTCCGGCGAGATATAGGGAGAACGAAAGAGAGGAAGGAAAATCTTGCTAATGAGTAATGAGTTTATGACAGACTTCGGATTTTTAAGAGGCCGCCCCTTTTGTCATATTGAATTATTGATAAACAAAGCTCGTTAATCAAAGGATTTAGGGGCCGTTTGGTTCACTGGGTAAACGAAATGGAATAAACAAAGGGAATGGAAGAGAATGGAATGAAAATACCCAATATTCTTTATGTTGTTTGTTTTAAAAACAAAGGGAAACAATCCCATCATCCCACCACCACACAACCACCCCACAACCACCTAATTCATTCACTTTCCACCTTTTCTAGCCACCATCCGTCCACCAAACCCCCATCCGCACCTCCACCGCCGGTCACCTCACCTTCGCCGCCCTTCACCGGCCTCGCGCAGCTCTCTCTTCCCCAAAAATCAACCCAGAAAAACCCTAGAAACATCCCAGCCCCTAGAATTCCCTCCCTCTCCCCGAAAAACCACCGTCCGACCCTCCCCCACCCTCGAAACCCTAGTAGCTAGGGTTTCGAGGGTGGGGGAGGGTCGGACGGTGGTTTTTCGGGGAGAGGGAGGGATTTCTAGGGGCTGGGGATGTTTTTGCGTGAGGAGAAGAGAGTTTTACGAGGAGGGGGATAGGCGGCGAGGGTCATCGGAGAGGCGGCGAATCGTGGGTAGTGCGGTGGTTGGGTTTCTTGGTGGTGTGTGGAGGTAGGAAGGTGGTGATGTGGTGGTGGCTAAGGAATGGGAATGGAAAAGTCTAGAGGGGGTGCGGAATGAACTTAAAGGGATTTGGGGTAATAAAGAGGGGAAAGGGAATGAAAGAAAGTGTTAAACAAACATCAACAAAGGGAATCGGGCCAGTTGATTTCCATTCCCTTTCCTGATTACCCCCAACCAAACGGAAAATTGTAATATTAGAGACTAAACCTCTAATTAGTGGTTTTACACTTTAAATTGAAATCTCAAGTAGCAGTTTACCCTAAACCACTAACCTTTCTGGTAGCGGACTAGCGATTTTACCAAAAAGGAAAAAAGTGTTGCATTTATTTACAATTTGCCATTAAAGTTATGTACAAACTATTCCCTTTATTTTACCCTCTCTAATCTCTGTCCTGTAATATTTGTCATAAACAAATTTTGCACACATGTTAATGTATTAGTTTGATTTTATTTTTATATAATTAAATATCAATAAATAAATAAATATATATATACACTACCTCCGGTCCAAATTACTCGCAACTTTGGGGTATTATTTGTGAGATATAAAATATTCCAAAGTTGCAAGTAATTTGGACCGGAGGCAATATATATGTATGTGTGTGTGTGTGTACAATAAAAAAAATAATACAGTATTATCTGCAACTTCTACTAAATATAGATGTTTCCTATTATGAGCAACCTTTCCAAATTTTTTCATTTATAGTAAATTTTAAAAAAAAAAAATCTCTAAAATGTCCTTACTTAAACTATCTATATATACTAATTGTTTAGGGTAAAAATACCCTAGACACGTGGCTAGGGGTGTTCAAATTCGGGTACCCGGAGTTTCGGGTACTTGATAAGTTGTCCCATATCCCGACCCGAATAATCCGGGTACCCGCCGGGTACCCGGATTATTCGGGTCGGGACATGGGTACCCGAATCTCATTTTGGTTTTTTTTTAATTAACTTTTACTTAATTTTACGTATTAATACCTGCTGTAATTTGATTTATTTTAATAAAAAAACTTGCTGCATTTTTTTTGTAAAAATTCCAGATTTCCAGATTTATAGTAACTGACTGTCTTACTATATATTTACAAAAAAAAAAAAAAAAAAAAAAAAAAAAAAACATGTTCTGCTAGAAATCTTGTAAAGTGTAAAGCTTGTTCAAGTATTTCCAGAAATACTATTCTGTAAAATGTAGCCCTTGAGTACCTGCTACATTTTAGTAAAAACCTGTTGTTTATAACCTGTTTTAACATATTAAACTACATGTTTTAACATATTAAAGTATTAGTAAAAGCTAAAGTTTAGGGAAAGTCTTTAGTTACATAATTGAAAACATACAAATTACAAAGTACAATAATATAACAAAGCCACAATGCAAATTAAAATGGGATTGGAGGTGTGTTTCATTCACTTGTGAGATTCGAAACTTCAATTGTCTCATCAATAATAATCGTTGGTTGCTCCAAAACCAAGTCTTTAATTCCTACAAAACCAAATAATGCAAAAAAATATACATCAAAAAACAAAAAACTTACATTTTCTAGTCAAAAAACAAACATATATACATCAATTCAAGACATATACTGTGAGACAAATCAGTCCATACAGTACATGCTAATATACATCAAAAACTTACATATTATACAACCAGTCCATACATGTTAATATACAAGGAATATACTGCATATAGAAAGATTATAAGAGAAGCAAATAAAGACAGTGAGACAAATCCTCAGGCCATACATTTTAATAAAGATTCAAGACAAATCCTCACACACATAATCTGGTGAGTGGTGACAAATCCTCACGCACATAGCAAATTCAAGACACATATCAACATTCAACAGTCAATTTTCCATGAACAAACACAATACCATGAATTTGAGCACGAAATACACTACAAATTTTGTACAAACGTAATACCATGATAAATTTTTTCCACAATTAGCACAATTAGCACGAAATACATTATCAATTGGATTACCACAAATTACAACAAAATTAAACTTGCATGAGAATAGAAATTACCTGAGATTGAAGGCTTAAACTCCCTTGAACTCGAGTGAACGGGAGAAGAAGGAAAGCAGATGAGAGAGAGAGAGAGAGGTGAATTTTTTTTTAGCCCTAAACCGTGAACTACTGTAGGGGTGAAACAAATTCGGGTTAAAACCGAACCGAACCGAAAATCGAACCGAATAAGAAATATGGTTCGGTTTTTTTTTGAAGTGGTTCGGTTCGGTTTTTAAAAAAAAAAATATTTCGGTTTTCGGTTTGGTTTCGGTTTGAGGAAATGGAAAACCGCAAAAAACCGAAAACCGAAATTTAGGCCCAGATTTACCCTAAGTATATAAGGAAAAAAAAACCCTAACCCTCATTCTCTGATTCTCTCTCCTGACTTCCTCTGTTCCTCGCCTCTTACCCTACCCTCATTGCGAATTTCTCAGTCTCTCACCCTCACTTTCTCAGTTTCTCAATCATCTCTTTTGTGTTTCTCAGAATTCTCACTCTCCATCGTTCACCGGCACTCGTTCAGGCGTTCACTGTGACACCGTCCACCGTCCAAAGGTATGCTTTTAAGTTTTGATTATGCTTGATGTTCATATTTTTTTAGGGTTTTAATTATGATTAGTGTTAAATGTTAATTACGAAAATCTGCAAATTACATGTACAAATTTGTTAAACATTATGATTAGGGTTTTAATCTATTCTTGATGTTCATATTGCGATGTTGTTTCTGAATTTTCTATTCTGTACAAATTAGTAAAACATTCTGAATTTTCTGGTATTTTGATGCTTCGGGGTTTTGGTCTATTCAAGGGTATTTTGGGTTTTGGTCTAGTAAAACATTCTGATTAGGGTTTTGGTCTAGTAAAACATTCTGAATTTTCTGGTATTTTGAAGCTCTATTCGATTGGACTCTGTTGAAGATTGTTTCAGATTATTAGTTAGTTATTAATTCAAGGGTTCGCATGATTAATAGCATTATCATTGTCTTGATAAGTGTTTATTAGATTGTTGATCTTTGTTATTATTGTTAATTTTGATTTTACTTGTTTTGGGTACAGTTAGTCAGTTAGTGCTTAATTTGATTGTTTTTGGGTGGTGGGGTGGAATCTTAGGGGGCTAATTATTATTTCTAAATTGTTATTGTCTTTGGTGCAGTTAGCCAGTTACTACTGATTTTGTTTATTAGGGGTATAATTATTATTATTGGTACTGTAAGTCTCTTTTTTTTTTTATAGGACTATAAATTCATTGTAATTCTTACTAAAATAAATTAACTACAATTCAAAAATATGTAACAAAACTAACAAAACCCAATATTAACTTAATTTCATCTAACAACAATTGTTAATATAATATCATAATAAGTTTTGCACCAAGCCTCATAAACAAGAAAACAGTTTGCATGACTAATGCACAACGGCCCCAACCTATTATTCCCTTTAAAAGATCCAATATTCTTAATTTATGAGTTTGCATGTATTCTTACAGATTGTTATTCAACCACGAATTATTGAATGACAACCAACGTGGGTGGTGTTCCTGACCAGCCTCAATCCGAACATGAGACTGACCAAGTCTCTCAAAATCAGAAAAAAGAACAGGGAGCAAAAAGGAAGAGGATGAAAGAACGCTCTGAAGTTTGGGAGCACTTTGATAAAGAAGACTTACCTTCTGGAATGCAGGCAATTTGCAAGTATTGTGGGATGAGCTACAAGTGTGGGGCAAAGAAAAACGGCACTAGTGTGTTATGGGCTCATATTTCGCGATGTCGTAAGTATCCCTTTAACCCCTAAAGATTCAAAACAAAGTTTGCTTTCATTTAAAAGTGCTAAAGAACCAAGTGGTGGTACTAGTGGGTTGACATACCACAAATTTGATGCTGGTAGTATTAGAAAAGCTTTGTCATTTATGGTGATTGTTGATGAACTTCCATTTAAGTTTGTTGAAGGTATAGGTTTTAGACATTTTTGTGGTGTAATAGAGCCTAGATTTAATGTTCCTTCTCGAATTACAGTAGCCAAAGATTGTTTTGAAACATATTTAACTGAAAAACGAAAGCTGAAAAATGTGTTAAAAAGGTGTAATTCAAGAGTTTCTTTAACCACTGATACATGGACCTCTATACAACAAATCAATTACATGTGCTTGAATGTCCACTTTATTGATAATAATTGGAAATTACACAAAAGAATTCTGAATTTTTGTCCTATTTCTAGTCATAAGGGTGATGATATTGGCAAAGAAATTGAAAAGTGTTTGCTTGATTGGGGGCTTGAAAATGTCATGTGCATAACAGTTGATAATGCTAGCTCAAATGATACTGCAATTGGGTATATGAGAAGGAAAATAAATGGGTGGAAAACTGGGGTTCTTAAGGGTCGTTTCCTTCACATGCGTTGTGTTGCACACATTGTCAATTTGGTTGTTTCTGATGGGTTGAAAACTGTTAATGAGTCGGTTCAACGTGTTAGGCATGCTGTTAGGTTTATCAAACAATCTCCTGCTAGGTTGCAAAGGTTTAAAAAATGTGTCTTAGATGAAAAAATCAACACAAAAAAGGGATTGTGCCTTGATGTGCCTACTAGGTGGAACTCCACTTATTTGATGTTGAATGCTGCTATTGAGCTTCAAGATGCTTTTGAGAGGTATTCTGGGGAAGACCCTCACTATGTAGTTGATTTGAATGAGAGGGATGGTAAGGGTAGCCCAGATTCTGATGATTGGAATAATGTAAG